CCGTAAATTTATATACGTAATTTCAGGAGGGAATGAAAACAATTAAATTTGTATTTATTTGTATTTACTCAAAAAGCAATTTTTTATTGTAATTTTTGTTCAAAATCAATTGGTTTTCATTCACTCGTTGTAATGTATATATTATCACTTTACTCGCGAAATTACAGGAAAATTCGCTCTTGCTAATTTACGTATCCTTTCAAAAGAGTGAATAGGTTTTTTTATTTCAAAAATGGCGTGCTCAATTGTCGAAAATAACATTTATGTGATAAATTTGCAGCAGTTTCCAACCATTGGGAAATGTTGTTATTTTACAATAATCCGTGAGCTCTAGAATTTGGTGGTTGTATAGTGAACTGGGAATGGGGTATGCTCAGCCCCCACTACCACGGCGGAGCGCAAGTATACTTCCAGAAAACGCGATATAGCCGGTCTGCTGACCCAATATTTTTAGTTCCCGTGAACAGGTAGATCGTTAATATTGTTAGGTAACTTTCATGCAACCATTGTGCAATTGTCCCCAGTCTTAAGACTGAGTTGTAAATTTGCGGGTTGTCTGGTGAAAAAACAAGTGAAATATATGCTGAAGTGAAAATCACGCACACAAAATCGCACGTGATTTATCCCGTGTCAAAACTTGCGACAACTGTTCATTATTTTATTTGCACAAAAATTACTATGCATTTTCTGGAAGAGCGTGCCACCGGACCCTCTTAACAAAGAAAAACGTACGAAAGTTTGAAAGTGCACGGGGATTAAACTTATGTGTTAGTTTTTTTTTATAATTTGGCCACCATATGTACATGTATATCTTTTTTAGACAGCCAATAGGGGCAGAAACCGAACTGAGAGCGTTATGGCGACTGGGAAAACCATTAAAAGACGTTCATATAGCCGACATTGGTAAGCAAGACTATGCAATAGCAAGTAATATAAATGGTACAATACACTTGCTCGTACTAAATATAGATTACATGCTAATTAACATCGTATATATATATGTGTGTGTGTGTGCGTGCGTGCGTGCGTGCGTGCGTGCGTGCGTGC